ATTTTATTTATTTATTTGTCAGAGAGAGAGAGCGCAAGCAGAGAGGCAGGCAGAGGGAGAAGCAGGCTCCCCGCTGAGCAAGGAGCCCGATGCGGGACTCGATCCCAGGACTCTGGGATCATGACCTGAGCTGAAGGCAGACGCTTAACGACTGAGCCACCCAGGCGTCCCTGTCATTTTTTTTTTTTTTCCTTTACCCCTAATGTATCATTTTTGCCCCTTTCCTCTTCATTAAAGACTGACTGGTACACAAAGCCTAGATTTGGACACAGAGTTCCAGTCCCCATCTGCCTTTTAATGGCTGAATGCACTTTGGAGGGGGTCACTCACTCTCTCTGGTCCTCAGTTCCCCCTCCCTTGTCAAATGGGGGTAATTATGACTATATTGTAAGGTTTGGAACACAGAGATGGAAAAGCATTATAGGAAGCAGGTGCCCAAACATGGTAGCTATCATACTTACTTCATTCTTGCTGGAGATGGTGGAACATGGGTTATTATAATACTTGTCAATTTCTAATAATAATGGTTTGTGAATCCTTTCTTGTCCATTCTCTCCTTGAATCCAGCAGACAACTGGGACAGAAGTGATAGTGTTCATTTCACAGGTGAGCTAACTGAGATTCAGAGAGATCAGCAACTTGTCTGAGATTGCCTTACTAACCGCCAACATGAGGATTCAGGAATCTGGTGTTCCTGGCCGCTTTAACTCCGACTCGGGGCGGTTCCCTGCCAATACCCCTTTTCTTAAGTGGCTCCTCAACCATCTCTTCTGGTCAAACAACAGTCTAGTCATGTCTTTCCACTCTTTAGAGTGGTCTAAGGCTCTTATAATTCAGACCAAATTTTTGTCTTCCTTTGGCTGGAAAACCAGCTTTGGAAAGACTGAGGACTCTTTCGTGCATAACATTTACAGAGGATTGAAGGAAAACAGAAGTTCATCATCCTATTCAAGGGAGACCAGGCCCCTCCACTGCATTCAGGGGGCCTTATGCTGAGAGGCAGGGTGACAAGGAGTTGTCTGTCAGGACACTTTCATGTCCAGGAAGCCAGGACCTTGGAGAACCCATCACTGAAACCGTGAAAGCCTTTAGTTCTTTCTCATGGTGAATTCTGTATGCTTTTAAAGATGGAGCCAAAAATAGCCATTCTAAGGCGTGGTTAACTTTCCAGGTCATTGGCAAGCATGAGAGATCTCTGCTTTCTTTAGAAAATTTAAGGGGAACAAGATCTCTAAGTGAAACCATGTATGTGTTTTCTTTTTGAGGTCAGTTTCCCAAAACTGTTCCCATTGTCTCAATCTCGTGGGGTTACCTTTATTTAGAATGTGCCCCACTTTTCTTAATATGTAAGTTTTTAAAAATTTTACTGAAAAACTGGGAAATATTTAAAGTCAGAGTCTTTGAATTTCCTGACTTAAAACTGATGAAAAGTACCGAGAGAGAAAGAAATTTTTAAAATTTAGTTAAGTCTTCAAGTCTGGCTTTTGACCAACTGTGTATTAACAGAAAAAAGCTCCAGTGTGGAAAGTTCCTGTCTCCAGATCCTGGACTCTACTGGGGGCCTCACAGTCCAACCCTGAGGACACATGCTGTGGAAATCAGGTTTCTCATCATCCCTGGTCTACATTTTAGGTAACAGCCATTTCTCTGGCTTCTTTTATTTTCCTCTTTTTGTTTTTCCTTTGCTTTCTTGCTCAGCAGCTTTAATTAATTCATTTGGTAAACAGGGCATGCTTCTGACATTTCTGAGTCAACTTTGTATCTATCAGATCAGCTGTTTCATTCTGGTTTTAGCTGCTGCCCCAGTCAATGTATCATGCACACACTCTTAGTGTATGGGATCCTGCTGAAGTATGTGTATCCTTATGTGCCTGCAGCAGGTATTTTTGTTTTGTCTGAACAGGAAGGAATAAAACAAAATAAACAAATCAATACAAATAGATGCTAATTACTGTCACAACAAAGCCCCTTGATTTTGCTATCAATTTCCAGTTCTCCACTCTGTGTGTAGGCACTAAATATAGTCCTTTAATCTAACCTAACTCCTTTCATTTTTTTTTTATTCTTTATAGGTGGCAGAGTGATTTTGCATATATTATTTAATTTTTATTAATTTTAATCTTTACAACAATTCATTTTACAGATCAATCAGGACTTGAAGCCATGGTCTTTCCTTTATTTGTTAATTGTATTTTTATTGGGCATCTTCTGTGTATCAGACACTCTTCTGGGTACTGGGGATTAGTTGCTAATCTGAACTCATTTGAGTTTACATCCTCGAGGGGACACAGACAATAATCAAAACAGCAAAATGTCAACGTGGGGTCTGTGTGCGCGTGCACACGCACATGAGTATGTACGCACGCGCAAGTGGGTATGCCTGCGCATGCGCGCATGCACCGTGCGTAACTTAACGTCAAGTAGAGGCACGTGCTCTGAAGAACAATGGGAACAAAGGAGAGCCTGTGAGCGTGGGTAAGTGGCTGACCCTTTGGAAGGGTGGTCGAGGAAAGCCTCTTCAGGAGGTAACGTGGGAGCGGAAGGGAGGAGAGGCGCGAGTCAGGGAGCAGGCTGCTGAGGAAAGCGAGTCCCAGGGAGAAGAGGTGTGAGCCTCCACGCTGGAGACCGAGGGGACTCCACCACCAGAGCGCTGGATCCCCTCCTCCTTCCTCCTCGTTGCATCAGTTTTCTCGCTCAGACCGTGTCTCCTGGTAAAACGTGTGGATTGGTTCACACCCGCACTGGAAGGTCTATAGGGCCGGGACCCTGTCTGAAGGACCCGGAGGCGGCTCAGCGAGAGGGCTGTGACAGTCAGTCGAGGGACCTGGGTTCTGAGCTGGTCTCAAGCAGCCCCGGCTGTGCGACCTTGGTCAACAATTCTCACTCACCTCTTGGCCCTCACAGTTCTCATTTGTGGGGACAAGGGTCAGGCTCACTGGCCTCCCTTGGCCCCTTACTGACTCTAAAATGTTTACATTTGTTAACGCCTGTAGAGGATTTTCTTTTACTAGGATAGGCCTTGGCACAGCCCACAGGTTTGAGAAGTTTGGTGAAGTACCTGCGGGGGAGGAGAGTTCGATGGGCGTGACTCTGGACAAGTCCAGCAACAAGGCCTTCCCCGCCTCCAAGGGTCCCTTCTTTGGCTAAAATACTCCCCCCCGTGGACAAAGCCGAGTATGGCATTTTTCTTTCCTGGATCCCGTTCCTCCCTCCCACTGGGCCAGTAGCGGCGAAGTCAGCCTGCTGGCCTGGTAGTGGGTCCCAGAAGTGCTTGTGTCTACAGCCCTACACTCCCCGGCTTCAGGCCTTCCTCTAGTAGATCAGAACAGGCCTGTTAGCAACCCCAAGACCCCTCCTTTCCTTTTGCCTCTGAATATCAAGCCCCAGGAACTTGCTTCCCAGTACCAGGAAACTCCAAACAGAACCAAGCAGAAAAAGACCAGTGCTAGTTGAAAAAGAGCCCCAGGGGCGCCTGGGTGGCTCAGTCTGCCTTCGTCTGCCTTCGGCTCAGGTCATGATCCCAGCGTCCTGGGATCGAGCCCCACATCGGGCTCCCTGCTTGGCTCCCTGCTTGGCGGGAAGCCTGCTTCTCCCTCTCCCACTCCCCCTGCTTGTGTTCCTGCTCTCGCGGTCTCTCTCTCTGTCAAAAAAATAAATAAAATCTTAAAAAAAAAAAAGAGCCCCAACGTACTGAATGGAGCACTGGGTGTTATACGCAAACAATGAATCATGGAACACTGCATCAAAAACTAATGATGTAATGTATGGTGATTAACAGAACATAAAAAAAAAAAAAAAGAGCCCCAAAGCTCTACCAGTAACAAGTCCAGGTTTTAACTAATGTCACTTCCTCAGGGAAGCTCTCAGTGTAGCCTATGGCCTGACTCCCTCCCCTTACACAGTACTTCTCCTTGGAAACATTTCTGCCCTGGGGATTTTTTTTTTTCCCCAGCTAGACAGCCTTATAGGAGCAGGACAGCATCTGTTCACAGTAATCCTCAAAATCAGCCTGGCCTATCCTAGTTCTCATTAAATATTTATTAAATAAATTTGAAGCACTTTATTTGTGCCAGGCCTA